TCTGAAAAATGTGAGGTAATACTGGTGTCTTGGAATTAAGGTTTTCGGTTATTATATTTACTTTTGTCCAATATTGTAATTTTGCATATACTGTTATCATATGCTTATAGAATGTTTATACAATATTTTTTTTTATTTCATATGATAATGCCAATATGTTCTGCCGAATGTAAAACTGCCCTCTCTTGAAATCCATAGGTAAGTCATCATTCTGTAAGGAACAAATTGTTGTTTTTTATATTGCTTACCACTGTTTACCAAGAATCACTATTAGACATTCATTTGAAGGAATCAGCTGGATTATAGGTGATCAAATTTGTTCTACTTGAATAAAACCCATCCATATTTATGCACTGTCCATGTCAGTCTGTCCATCTTGGAATAAATATTACCCCATTATGATATTGTATATCACTAATATTTTAATGTTTTCATTTCCTGGGACAGTTGGTAAACTTTAAAGCAAATGTGCTTGGTCTGGTTGCTAACAGCATAAAACTTTGACATTAGATTCACACAGGTGGATTGAAAAAAATAGTTGGAATATACCATCTCTGTGCTAATAGTTTACATTTTTATATTCTACTTTGAGGCCCAAACTTAATGTACTAAATTTTAAATTTGTGGTACAGAATGTTAATTGAATGATGCCAGAAAATGTGATGTTCACTGTAGTGTTGGTTTGAGAAATATATCTATACATAGATGATTCTACAAGTACTCGGCTACCTGGGAATCAGTTAGTAGCCTATGTGCCCTAATCAAAATTGCCAACATTGGTCCCCTGCCTACCTCTTACCCCCCCCCCCCCCATGGTTAGCTTATGGTAAATTATTGTCTCTATCTTTCCTTTTGTAGCAATTTTAATTCAGTATTGACATTTTAACAAACATGAAATGCATAGGAAGATCATGATGACTTATATTTTGTTAATGCGTGGGTAGACTATTCTTAACCCAATGCTGACGTGTGATTCCCTGATACGCAAGCTCTCTCTCCTGGGGGCTTGTGTCGTCACCCTAGCATGCTTGGTATAGCCATACATGCCCCCAAAAATGGAATTGGCACACCATGGTATGTATATACAGGCCACCTGGAATATAGTCGAGGCATGCCATGTCATATACATACATGGCACCCAGCGGCTAAGAGTTATGCGCTTCATAGGTCTTCATATTCCATAAAGTAAGTGACACATCATAATCTCAAGTAAATAAAGGGAAAAATACACAGTCAAAAGAACATTACTTTAATTACAAACTATTTACAATATATTTCCCAGTCCCTTATTACTGAATAATGTACTCTTTGGGCCAGTCAAAAACTTTGGGGAAATTCTTCACTTCTTCTTCAGTATAGTGGTCTAGACGCTTAGGAACTGGTCTAAGCTGGCGAATTTGTCCAGAAATATTCTGCAAAATGCTGTCAGGTATCTGTGAATAAAAGAAATATCTATCATCTTCTTCGTAATCACTTTACTTACGAGCTAGTCTTTGCCTGCATTTATTGCACATTTCCTGTTCTGCATTATATTTGCATTCTCTACTATATTACTTAACCCATTGCTGCCGGGGAAAATACTGTACTCATTTTTTATGTTTTTGTGAAATATCTCTTGTGAAATGGCTCTGCTAGTCCTGATTTCACCTTTCCTTAAATTGGCGGGAAAAAACGTATTCTTACTAGTGCTATAAATATAGATGGTGTTATTTTTAACAGCAAATTAGGATAACGTTAAATATTTTCGTAAATCGATGAAAAGGGTGAATGGGTGAGACAGGCAGTTCTCGTAATTGGCTCATTGGTGACTTAGTACAAGTGTAGCCATCTATCTGTAAAAACAATCAAACAAGTCGACTCACAGTGGACATGGCATGTACGTACATGCCATCCCCGGCGGCAATGGGTTAAGAGGAATATACATCTCAAATTATATTTCAGACCAAAGACTTGGCCATAAAAATAATAATAACATTACAGTTAAAATACCTGAAACTACATTTCAAACCAAAAGACATTGCAGTTAAAATATCTCAAATTGCATTTCTCATAGCCTCCTTTTCTATGTAATCATGTCTACTCCTTAACTGAATTTAATGCAATGTAACTTTTATTTATTCACATCTTAACCCATTCACGCCGGGCGTCACGTATATATGACAGGCTCACTGTGAGTTTACTTGTTTAATTGTTTTCACACATAGATGGCAACACTTATACAGATAGTCCCATACTTAAGAACATTCTACTTATGAACATTCCATACATACAAACAAAATTTTTTAAGTACTAAAAATTGTTTGAAAGATGCTAGCAAACTTCAAATTTCCCGGGCACGAATATAGTTCAAGAGTCTGGTACTGTATAAGGTATGTTGAACTTATTGGGATTTATTTACAGGTATTCTTAATGTAAACAAAACTTTAAAACAATGGGAAAAAAGGTAATGGAGACCCAACTTTCGACATATAAACAAATCAACTTACAAACAGCCTCTCGGTGCCCATTATGTTCTTAAGTTGGGGACTTACTGTACTTGTACTGCCTGTCTCGCCTGTTTACCCTTTTCTTTAATTTACAAAATTATTTTGCTGTTCCTAATGTTTATAACATTATAGTAATTATAATGTTTACAATAAAAATAACCATCGATATTCGTAACACTAGATAACATACATTTTCCCACCGATTCAAGTAAAGGTGAAACAAGGTAAGTCAGAGCCATCTAGTGTAGAGAAATTTCATTAAAAAATATAAAAAATGAGCACAGCATTTTCCCCATTTTTTGTTCATTTTTACCCGGCGCGAATGGGTTAAAGCCCACAAATTTTTCAAGGTCATGCTGTGTCCCATAGTAGGTAAAGGGGTAATTATATAATCAAAAATATAAATAAACAAATAAACCTACCTCAACAAATCTCTATGATATAAGAGGGTATCAATGATCAAATAATGATAATAATTGTTATTTAGAAACTCACTCATTTAAGCATTGACAAATCATTACAGGTTAAAGAAGAAATTGTGTGTGTGTGTGTGTGTGTGTGTATGTGTGTGTGTGTGTGTGTGTGTGTGTGTGTGTGTGTGTGTGTGTGTGTGTGTGTGTGTGTGTGTGTGTGTGTGTGTGTGTGTGTGTATGTGTGTGTGTGTGTGTGTGTGTGTGTGTGTGTGTGTGTGTGTGTGTGTGTGTGTGTGTGTGTGTGTGTGTGTGTGTATTTTACTATTTTATATGGGAAATTTTGCAAAAAAAACACCCTACAACCAGGCCCTGTCTCTGGCAAATTTTTACATTTCCAAAAAATTGAAGGAATGAAGCTGTGGGAACATTTATTATGTTTGTAGTGATGTGTGAAATGAGGCAATACAAATCTCTTACAGTACATCAAGTGCCTAAATAAACTCAGTAACTACAAGGAAATTTAGTATTAAACACTGTAGTAGGAAAGTATAAAGTCTCTCTCTGACTATCATGACTATCTGTTAATACTAAAACAGGTATACTGTACACTGCTGTAAGAATAATATCCTTAGAGTCAATGAAGTTACGAGTTTACAAACATCTAGATTCCATGCAGTATGTTTTCCGTACCTTATCATCTGGGAATATGTGTAGCCTTGCCATCCTTCCTCTTCTAAGCAAGTTTTTACTCAACTGACTATACACAGCTTTTCGGAGAACCTATATAGAAAGAAAATAAAAATACACATTTTACTTCCATATCTGAGTATTAAGGTTCAAAGCAATTTTATGTGTATCAGAACTTCAAACGCCAAATATCTACCAGTGTAGGATCCTTCTGGTGCAGCTCCCAAGCCAGTGTCCATGATGCTCCTCCTGGGTACCCGGTGTGGTGAAAGTAGACACGCTTTTCCCACTCTGTCCCAGGCATGGCAATGTCACGGGAGTTTATGACAACAACATGATCTCCACAGTCACCTGAATGATTAAAATGATTATAATATATGAATGATGCAATAATTGTGAAAAAGAAAGAAAGAAAAAAAATAGATATGGAACATTTCGAAATCAAGAAATTTGCTATCTAAAATACTATTTACTAAATTTACTACATCAGGTAAATATTTGAAATAACTTTGCATGACTGATTGCAACAATATTAGTATTGATGAATTCTTTGTCTTCCAATGTGGGGTTGGGGGGGGGGGTCAATAACTACAGGGGGAACAGCTCTCTGCATCAGATGAGATAGATACCTTACTGTGTATATTATTGATAGTTTACCCCACAATTTTACTGGTGCCTTTCTTGCCCTCCCCTGCTATCAGAGCCAATGTGAGGGTTTGGGCGGTTTCGCAGCAAATGTCCTACATATTTGTGTAGGAGAGGGTAAGAGGAAGCCATAGCTATTAATGTCGTCATGATTGGTCATGTAAGATATTCCAAATAATTACCCTAAATGGAATGTATAAATAGTTAAATAAATATTTTTAAAGCAAATCTTTCCATAAAACTTACTTAGGGGATGATAAATAGGTTTTGTGCTACCTGTGAGGTAGTCCTTGACTTTACTGGCTGTTTGGAATGGATTTTGCCACTTAGCATCATATAAATACCACATTCTGCCAAATGTGGCCCATTGCTGTTGTAAGAAAAAAATAAACATTCATTACAATATATAAATGTGAGAGAATATATGTTAACATGATTTACAAATCAATACTACTAATTCTCACAAAGTAACAGAGTCTTCTCTTCAGTGAAAAACTTTAGAGTTTACAATATCTATATATTAAGAAAACAAATGTGGGAACGTCCCTTACATATTTAATAACCACGGCACCATTTATTAATTGCTGCTTCGTGAATAACCTCATAAGTAATTTTGTCTTTGTCAATTTCGAATTAATGCTTACATAATTGTGGACATGTAACATAAGTAAATTGGTAAAAAGCCTTACAATTAATACGGTACTTCTCAAACTTAAAACATTAGGTACCGGTAAAATGTCACAGACCTATTAGTTATATACGACCTATAAAGACCTACTAGCTAAATACGACCACATATACACCATGGGCTCTGTCATTTCCTTAGACTATACAAGTATGGAAATTTACCTGTACTCGTCTTGCTGAAGACATGACTTTTTTTTATCCCTTTGGTTCTTCTCCTCCCTGTGTTTACATGCAGGTCATAAACGATAGAACGAGGTGAAGGGAAACAAAAGAAGACGTCATAAAGAGGATCCGAAACTTTAAGAAGACGCTATAAAGAGGATCTGAAACTTTAAGAAGCCGCTAGAAAGAGGATTCGAAACTTTAAGAAGACGCTATGAAGAGGATCCGAAACTTTAAGAAGACGCTGTGAAGAGGATCCGATACTTTAGACAGGGTCCTGCTGGGGAAAGACATGTAAGAGTTATGTATTTCATGTTCATCAAAATTGAATCTGTAATGCAATTCCATGTGATAAGCTACCAGAAGTTGCAAGGTTTGATATGGAGAAATGCAATGATTTTGCTAGTTGAGAATTTTAACTGGTAATTATTACATATGTCAGTACCCCCCCCCCCCCCCAAAAAAAAAAAAAAAAAAAAAAAAAAAATATATATATATATATATATATATATATATATATATATATATATATGTTGACAATGTGGCATTACTGTTAATACCTCGCAAATTAATACAAGCATCTACGATACAACAATATATCTTATTTCTTCCCGAAACATGCAACTCATGGCTGCAAGAGGATTTCGAGAACACACGGGATTCAATGCTAGTTAAATAGAAATAAAATAAAATCTTGCAAGGAGGATCAACAAGCAGCTGTATTCAGCATCTAGCAAGGATTTTGATGCATTAGAATCTTCAATATGTTGTGTGTATATATATCTAACATCTAAATAAAATAAAAACTGTACGCGTGAAAGGGTTCAGGAAGAAAGCTGGAGGATAAGAAATTAAAAAGTTACAAGCAACATTTCCTCCTCAAAAGGCAGTTACCCGTTTGAAACTCGAGTCATATTCCATGAACTCCAGACCAAATCAAGGACGAAATACAACTTACATCAGGAAAGATGTCATTATAGAAACATATAAATGTATATATATGTATGTATGTATATATATATATATATATATATATATATATATATATATATATATATATATATATAGGTATGTATATCTATATATAATAGGGTTGATTAAACTATTTGGTCATTGTCCGCTTCATGAAAACTTTAAAGTTAAATAGGTCTCCTGAATATCATATGTATTGAAATTTATTAAGATAGTACCATATTTTACAGTTTTTTTCAAAGCACGATAATGTTTTATATTGGGTATAGTTTTTACTGCACTTATAATGCTACATGTTGATATTAAAGATGTATAAATAAAAGTAATGAAATAGTTGTTACATTACAAGCACCTGGCATAGATCAACTAATACTTGTAATTATGGAGCGAAGCTGTCTGCAATTTTTTACCTTAACTATTGGAGACAAATCGAGGCTCCAAGACAAATAGTTTTGCAACTATTAGCAACTATCTATTAATTATTCTGCTTTCATTGTAAATATGTGATAGAGCATGATTGTATTCCATTCTTGACCAGCTTACTTCCATCGTTGTTTATACCTTTCTATTTAGCATTATGGTTCGGTCCACTTACAAAATTCTTTGGCTCAACTCATCTTCCTCTCAGGAGTTTCCCGGCAGTTCATCACCGGCCAGCCTTCCACCACGATATGTGAAGCTGATATATCACTTATCATAGACCTGCTGTAGTATACTTTTTGTAATTTGTAAATTCTGTGGCTAACCTATGAAAGATGTCATTATAGAAACATATTAATGTATATATGTGTATGTATGTATATATATATATATAGATATATATATATATAGATATATATATATATATTATATATATATATATCTATATATATATATATATATTATATATATATATATCTATATATATATATATCTATATATATATATATATATATCTATATATAATAGGGTTGATTAAACTATTTGGTCATTGTCCGCTTCATGTCAAAGCACGATAATGTTTTATATTGGGTATAGTTTTTTACTGCACTTATAATGCTACATGTTGATATTAAAGATGTATAAATAAAAGTAATGAAATAGTTGTTACATTACAAGCACCTGGCATAGATCAACTAATACTTGTAATTATGGAGCGAAGCTGTCTGCAATTTTTTACCTTAACTATTGGAGACAAATCGAGGCTCCAAGACAAATAGTTTTGCAACTATTAGCAACTATCTATTAATTATTCTGCTTTCATTGTAAATATGTGATAGAGCATGATTGTATTCCATTCTTGACCAGCTTACTTCCATCGTTGTTTATACCTTTCTATTTAGCATTATGGTTCGGTCCACTTACAAAATTCTTTGGCTCAACTCATCTTCCTCTCAGCAGTTTCCCGGCAATTCATCACCGGCCAGCCTTCCACCACGATATGTGAAGCTGATATATCACTTATCATAGACCTGCTGTAGTATACTTTTTGTAATTTGTAAATTCTGTGGCTAACCTATGAAAGATGTCATTATAGAAACATATTAATGTATATATGTGTATGTATGTATATAGCGAGTACGTATTTCGCGACAGAGAGGATCCGATCCCAGCGACACAAAGGATCCGATCCCACAGGTCGTCCGCGGCAGTCTCCAGCCGCTGTCGTCGAGCGAAGGGAAGGAGGTGGAGTATCACTCGAATTTTTGGCTGATATTTGAAGCTCGTGTGGCTTGATTTCACGTCGCAGTTCGTACGGGAAGTTAATAAGGCGCTGGGCAATGTTTTTAGTCGGTATCTGCGTTGGGTCTTTTGTGTAGTTAGGTTGCAGAGATGAGGATGTGGAGTATGGATATTCGGAGGATATTTTATTTACGAAGGAATATGTACTGAGAGGAGAATTAATAGTATATAGAATTAATAGTAGTAGACGTTATAAGTGTTTGTAGTTAGAACATAGGGTCACGGAAAGGGGATGTTACGTTGGGAAAACGCTAATCTGTAACTGAAAATTACTCCTATGTGTTATTATTATTTTTATTTTATTTTATGTATTTTAGGAATTTTGTTTATTGCATGTATCATAGGTTAAATTTGACTAGATTTATATAAATGAGATCTGTAGCCATTAGGTTGTATGTCAATAAATATTCATGATATTAAATATTTTTGTGCTGCAAAGGGTAGAGCTTGCAGATCAACTTGTTAATTTATCATCATTTAACCTATTGCCTGCGGGGAAATGAAAAATGGGGAAAATGTTGTCCTCATTTTTTATATATTTGTGAAATGTCCTTGAATTGGCGGGAAAAACGTATTTTTTACTAGGGCTATGAATATCGATGGTGTTATTCTTATTATAAACATTATAATTACTATGTTATAAAAATTAGTAACAGCAAAACAAGATAACATAAAATATTTTCGTAAATCAAAGAAAAGGGTGAACGGGCGAGACAGTACTCGTAACTGGCTTATTGGTGACCTAAAAACAATCAAACAAGTAAACTCGTAGTGGGCATGGCATTTACATACATGCCATGCCCATCGGCAAAGGGTTAACCCATTCACGCCGGGTGTCACACATACGTGACGGGCCCACTGTGAGTTTACTTGTTTAATTGTTTTCACACATAGATGGCTACACTTGTACTTCTACTGCCTGTGTCGTCTGTTTACCCTTTTCTTTAATTTACGAAAATATCTTACGTTATCTTATTTTGCTGTTACTAATGTTTATAACATTATAGTAGTTATAATGTTTACAATAAAAATAACCATCAATATTCATAGCACTAGTAAAAATACATTTTCCCGCCAATTCAAGTAAAGGTGAAATCAGGTAAGGCAGAGCCATCTAGTGTAGAGACATTTCATTAAAAAATATAAAAAATGAGCACAGCATTTTCCCCATTTTTTGCTCATTTTTACCCGGCGCGAATGGGTTAAGGAACAAGTCCAACTTTGGCTTTGCTGAAAGAGGCCAGATGGAAACTTGCTGGTCTTAACTAGAGCTTGAGGAAAATTTTCCGCGCATGTCAACCAATCGTACAGTAAAATAAGTGTATGGAATGGATACCTTGACGAAAAGTAAGACACTTTTCATCTATGGCAACAACTGCGCAAATCTAAAATAAGGGAGATATAGGACAGAGAAGAGAGAAGCTCGACCCTTCATTTTCTAAGTCCCCTTCCATGTTTACCTTGCGAGATCAAAACAATTGTGACGCGTAACTCATTACTGCGATCCAGCAAGTAGTCCATGTATTGCTACGCGCTTGTGAAAACGCTTATTTTGTCATTACTAGCGTCTGATTCTCTGAATTCATGTATGTAATGCATTCTTCTAGTTTTATTATACTTCTCTTGCGTCTTTTGGTAATTATTTACGTTATTCTATACAATAACCTTTTGCGCATGCGTGTTTTCACCGGGAGATTTGACAGGTCGACCCACCGCCATTCGCTCAGAAACACCGGTGGAAAATGTTTCATTTCAAGTGCTGTGTCGACATCGGGTTATTTTTTAAACTATATTGTGGATATACAGGACAAATAGACATTATTCTCAATCACAAGCCTGATATTTGAGCCCAACAAGTGCCCCAAATGCCGAAAAAAGTGATTAGAAACCAAGCAATTCTGACCATAGACGGAAGCGCAGAAAAGTTCGGTTTTTCGCTTTATAAAGGTATGTGGTATATTACTACGGGGGTCCAGGGGGCGTAGCCCCCTGTCTAGGCGCATCTAATACCATGGGGGTCCAGGGGGCAGAGCCCCCTGGCTAGGGAATGTATAGATCGTAGTGTATAAATCCCACAGGGTTAGGCTAGGTTAGGTTAGGTTAGGTTAGGTTAGGTTAGGTTAGGTTAGGTTGGTTTGTTGGTTAGGACGCATTGTACGATTATCACAGGGGATCTGGATCATGTGAAATCCCGTAGATTTTTACCGAACGGTGGGTTTGGTTCCCGTAGAGTTTTTCGAAATTTGGCGCGTCGGCCCGTAGACTTTGAAAGATGGCGGCGATGTCCGTAGAGTTTCATTGTCCGATTTTAAGCGTTTTTTGTGCTTGTTTTACACATTTCTGCTCTCCATTTTGCTTATTTCAGCCTGTTTTACCCCGTAATTTCCCTGATCTACTTCATGCCCTCCCCTGCTATCGGGACTTATGAAAACACATCAAGATTGTCGGCTGGAGAATCCGACGGAGAATATCATCAGATTCGTTCTCATCACACGAGAACAAATTTGATGATATAAACATTGTCAGGGAAGACCCAGTTGTCATTTTTGGAAAATTAACCGAGCTTGAAGCATGGTTCCTGTGGTAGAAGTCACTGCTATCCAATAAAGTATATTGACCATTTATTGTAGTAAGTCGGGGATGACCAACTATACCAAGTATATTGGCCTTGATATTTGGAAAGAGTATTAGATTCATTCGGGACAATGGTTGACCTGGCTAACATTTTGCAAATGTTGACTCGTATGTGATTTCTAGATGGCTTCAGCACCTATAGTGATTCATGAAGAGGCAAGTGTCTCCCCTATATCTGCCCATCTATATCTATATCTATCTTTCAATCTGTCTATATGTAAAATATGTATTATATTATGTATATTTAAATATGTTATATATGTATATATATATACACATACATCTATGTGTATATATATACATGTATATATATATATATCCATAAATGTATATGTATGTATCCATAAATGTATATACATATATGTATATATGTATGTGCATATATGTATATAATTGTAAATATATGTATATATATGTATATATATATTTAAATATGTATATATTATACATGCATGTATATAGGTAAATTTATGTATATATAATGTATACATATATATATGTATGTACATGTGTATATATATATATGTTTGTATACATGTATATATATATATATATATATATATATATATATATATATATATATATATATATATATATATATATGTTTGTATACATGTGTATATATTTATATGTTTGTATACATGTGTATATATTTATATGTTTGTATACATGTGTATATATTTATATGTTTGTATACATGTGTATATATTTATATGTTTGTATACATGTGTATATATTTATATGTATGTATACATGTGTATATATTTATATGTATGTATACATGTGTATATATTTATATGTATGTATACATGTGTATATATGTACATGTATGTATACGTGTGAATATATGTATATGTATGTATACATGTGTATATATGTATATGTATGTATACATATGTATATGCATATAGATGTATGTATGTACACAACCATAATCTCCATGTATATCTATATCTATATCTATCTATATATATATATATATATATATATATATATATATATATATATATATATCCATATCCATATGTATATATATTTATATATATGAATATATATATATATATATATATATATATATATATATATATATATATATATATATATATATATATATATATATATCTGTATCTGTATCTATCTATCAATTTGTATATATACCGATATATACATATACATGTATATGAATATATGCATGTACATGTATATCTATATGTACATACACATATATGTATATATATACACATATATGTATATATACATATATATGTATATATACATATATATGTATATATACATGTATATATACATATTTTTATATATAAATCTATTAATGCATATATATATATATATATATATATATATATATATATATATATATATATATATATATATACATGTATATACATGTGTATATATACATGTATATACATATATTTATTCACATATATATGTATATATAAATATATTACATATGTATATATACATATATATATACTGTATGTATATAAGTGTATATATATGTATATAGTATTTAAATATATATATTATACCATGCATGTACTAAGGTAAATTTATGTATCGTATCCTGTATTACATCTATATATGTATGTACTGTGCATAGATATATATGTTTGTCTACTGTATATAGATATATATTATATCAATATATATATATATATATATATCATATTTATAATATATATCTCTATGTTTGTATACATGTGTATAATAGTTTATTGTTTTGTTATACATGTGTATATACTTTATCTGTTTTGTATACATGTGTATATATTTATATGTTTGTATACATGGTATATATTTATATGTTGTATACATGTGTAATATTTATGTATGTATAAATTGTTTATATATTTATAATGTATGTATACATGTGTATATATTTTATGTATGTATACATGTTATATATGTACAATGTAGGTATACGTGTGAATTATGTATATGTATGTATACATGTGTATATATGTATATGTATGAGACCATGTGTATAATATGTATATGTATGTATACAATGTATATGCATATAGATGTATGTATGTACACAACCATAATCTACATGTACATCATATCTATATCTATCTATATATATATCTATAATCATATATATATATATATATACACATATATATACCATAGCCATATGTGATATTGATGATTATATATATGAATATATATATAGAGATATATATATATATATATATTATTATATATATATATATTATATATATAGATATATCACTTATATATCGTATCTGTATCGATCTATCAATGTATATATACCGTATAACATATACATGTATATGAACACACATGCATGTACATGTAGATCTATACGTAGATACACATTAGTATATATATACACATATAGGATATAGTAACATATATAGCTATATATTTACACTATAAGGTAGTATATACAGGTATATATTACATATTTGAAATAAATCTAATAATGATATATCTATATATATATATTCTATTATATATATATATATATATATCTATATATATATATACTGTATATACATGGGCGCACGCATTATACATGAGAATCATATATCTTATTCACATATATATGGTATATTAAATATATTACATATGCTATATATACATATATATATACTGTATGTATATAAGT